TCTCCTTTATGAGATGTCTCTTTGGATGTATGGGGATCAGGGAGCTGCTTGAGGAAACAGTCTGTCCTTTATAGGAGCTCAAGCGCTGGGCTGTGAGCTCTGTTGTTCCATTCAGAGCTGCTGGGCAGATACATTTAAATCTGCTGCAGTGGAACCCATAACTGCCTTTTTTTTCCCAGGTGCTCTGTCCTGGGAAGGTGGGGCTTTATTTATAAGTTCCTGACATGCTGCTGCCTTTTTTCAGAGATGCCCTTCCCAGCGAGGAGGTAGCCTAGTCACAGTCTGCCAGCAGAGGCATTGCTAAGCTGCCATGGGCTCTGCCCAGCTACTGTGTGAGCTTCCTTGCAGTTTTATTTATAGAGGTATAGTTAGAACTGCCTTGGTAATGGAAGTCTGCCTCTGTAATGGCAGACTGTCTCTGTAATGGCAGACTGTCTCTGTAATGGCGGACTGCCTCAGTAATGGCAGATTTCCTCAGTAGTGCTGGACTGCCTTGGTAATGGCAGACCACCTTACTCCCATAGAGCTGGACTATCCCAGGTCCAGCTGTGCTTGCTGTGAAACTCTCAATCCAGAGCATTTCAGATGGCTGGACTTTGTGGGGGTGGGACCATCCAGGCTCCAGTTGAAAATGAGCCCAGATTTGTGTGAATTTTTGTGTGGGGACTCACTGCACCTGCTAAAACAGCCATGTTGGAGACTCATGGCACTTTTCTGCCTGGGAATCTCCTGGTCTGTGGGCAGTAAAAATTCGTTTAGAAATGTGGTGATCACTTGCCCTCTGCATTCTTGCTGGGAACTGCACTCCAGAGCTGTTCCTATTTGGCCATCTTGGATCATCCCTGTTCAGCTAATTCTAAAGGAAGGTGGAAGTGTATGGTTTGAGAGCTTTATGAACTTTTTGGAACATATTTTCATAGGAATTTTTACCTGCCTTCTTATATGTGATACATATGTATTAGAAATGTTATAGTTACAATTACATTATATGCATATTGCATTTCAATATCACAAGATATGACACATATATGTGTTACATATACAGTATGCATTACTATATACACATATTCTGTCTTGTTATACTGAAAAGCAATATACCAAAAGTTTTACTTTTTCTAATAACTCAAATGTACCCCATCAAATACAGATAGCATCCATTTAGGAAAGCCTGGAATACTAGTCTCGCTGAGTTAGAGATGACTGATGAAACACAGGATCCAGTTTATTCATCTTTAGATTCCTGGTGCCTGAAACACAGAAGCTGCTTAATCAAAATTTGTCAAACATGCGTTGAATTAGTTCTCCCCTTTCTTGCACTAAAGCAAAGGTGGAAAATCTTTTATAGTCTCTCAAAAATCATTCATTCATTCAGCAAACACTTGACTGGGAGCAAGAATATTAAGACACAAGGCAATGTCACTGTCCTCCAGCAGTTCCTAGCCTAGTGAGGGAGAAAAAGCAGAATGCAAAGTCAATGCAATATGTGAGGGCCAGTCCTCTCTCCTGTTTAATTTTTCTATGGCTGTTTTGTCAATTCAAGGACCTCATCTGATAGCCAGAAAAGGCCTAGGGAGAGAGCTGTGACCCAGAGAGGCACAGATAAAGGTACCCAGATACTATTAGGTCAGCAGACTAAATGTTTGTGCATGTCACTTGCACATTATACCCTGCATTAGTAAAATTCCCTGGAACAAAGTCCTAAGTCATAAATAAGCTAGGCTGGGCTAGACAAACTAGATGAGGACAAACTTCATCTCCTTCAGTTTAGCAGATGACATTCATAGACCTGAAGATTTCTTTTCCTTAGTCTATCCTTTGATCGATTTATTCATCCAGTAATCATTTATTGAGCACTAACTACATATCAACATACCACCGGATGCTGGAGATACAAAAAAAGATGAATTATACAAGTACCAAAAACAGCAATAACGAAAACTGGTGGTGATTGCTTTAACTGAGAAATGAAAAAGGTCTTGTGAGAACACAGACAATAGGAAAGCTTCAATGCTGGTAGAGTAAAGGAAGGCTCTCCAGAGGGAATGCAGATTTTGTAAACCAAGTACTTCATTCCCCTGGAGCTCCTCTATCACACTTTTCATATCCACCCATGAATATTTACACTGCAGCAAAAAGCCTGGTAGCATATTATTACTACTTCCCTAAAGAACCTTGCAATACAAAGTATGACCAGCGCCTGGGCTATTAGAAATGCAGGACCTCAGGCCCCACTGGAGACCTTCCCAATGAGATTCTGCATTCTAAAAAGATCTCAGTTGTGTTAAGATTTGAGAAGTGCTCTCCTAGAAGATGAGTAAAGGAAAGACTCGTCTCTGAAAATTATCTTCTACAGTGTTTCTGTGCTTGAAGATGAAGGCTCCTTGCACTGTTCAGGAGAAGACTTTACAAATCATTTCATCTATCCCCTTATTTTACAACAAAGGCTCCTGGTCCAGAGGGGTGCTCAGTATGGTGCAGGAGGCAGGGTGGGTAGAAGAAAGTCTGTGAGTCCTTCTGTCAGCCATAGTTGGTCCCTCATACAGGCGGGGCCATTTAACTAATGTGGTGACAAAAATTCCAACCTCACAGGCTTGTCAAAAGGATTGCAGAGTATGCAGGTAAAGTGGCTGATAAACAGTAAACACTCAATAAATTTTAATAGTAATAACTAGAGACAGAATTGGGTTAGATCAGAACAAGATGTCTAAATTTCTCAGTGAAGTACTTTTCCATGGCTGTACCCTGTTCACCTGCCCCCAGTCCTCATCTAGCCAAAGGCATCCCTCTACCCAACCCTAACACCCAGTACTATCTCTGAAGTTGAGACCATTAAAATATGGACTACTTTCTGAAATCACTAATTTAGAAGTGTTTCTTTACTTTGTATGTTCTAATAATTTCTATGTCTTTTTGAAACATAATCCAGATAAGGGAATTCTCAACACATGAATTTGGGCAAGAACATATATCTCTCTGAGTGGTGACCAAATGTACTGCTAACTGCTAGTGAACCTGGAGATAGCTTTTGGAGGAGATGGTTTAATTTGCATTTGAGCCTTTCCTGTTATGTAGCCTTTTCCTGCATGCCTTAGTCTCTATTCTTTCACTCTACTGTATCAAATAAATGCTTTCTTCTTCCATTCCTTTCCCCCTCCTTCTCAATTTTGTACCTCCGAGAACTCCCTGTACATATATGTAATTACATATAAATAGGTTTTATTATATATATTAAAAATAATTACTAAAAATTATATGATATAATTTAATATATATTATATAGACTATAATATAGATGATTCTATATTATATATAGAATATATTGAATATAATATATATTAAAAATATATAATTAGATATATACATAATTAGAAGCACACATACACCACCCTTATCTATGTTCAATTGTGCAAATGGTGAGGACTTTAATTTACCAAATGAATCATGAAGGATGTTATGGAATAAGAGGAGCTCGTCTCACAAAATATCTCCTCATTCATGGGGGCTTATGAGAAACGGCCCTGCCACCACTGGGTTAACAAGCCACAGATGTCATGGGCCCCCTCACAGACACTGCTGCTGCTCACAGTCACACTTCCCTCCCCCATGGGCCTTCTCTTTTCCCTCCCCTCCAGGCCTTTCTCTTGATCAAGAGCCTTTCTAGAGTTCTTCCGCTAAATCCTAGGCCAGCAGACAGCACTTCTACCTCAGCCAATTTGAATGCATGCTGCCTGTGAGATTTCCTGAGACACTCTCAGCTGCCGCATTAAAACTGCATAAGAGTCTTCCTCAGGAGGCCTAATAATAGCACATTTCATCTGTGAGACACTTTATAAATATTAACTGATTACGCTGCCCTGTCTCCTCACAACCTCTGGGCTTCTGCATAGTGGACATCATTCTTCTCTGCCCTCAGATTACTCTGGGAGAAAAAAAGCTGAGACCTGAAGAATCTTTTTCTGAATATTCTAGGCTAAGACATCATTAATGCCAATGGCCTTGCAACAACCTCCACCTAAGTTATGGCTTGGAGTGGGAAGGAATTTAAATCTATGTTTATTTTGTTATTTTTCTTAATTTTTAAGTTCCAGGGTACATGCGCAGGATGTGCAGTTTTGCTACATAGGTAAACATGTGCCATGGTCATTTCCTGCATCTATCAACCCATCACTTAGGTATTGAGCCCAGCATGCATTAGCTATTTTTCCTAATGCTCTCCCTCCCTCAATCCTTCCTCATGACAGGCCCCAGTGTGTGTTCTTCCCCTCCCTGTGTCCCTGTGTTCTCATTGTTCAACTCCCACTTATAAGTGAGAACATGTAGTTTTCTGTTCCTGCGTTAGACATTTATGTGGCCAACAAACGTATGTTTATTTTAAAAGAGACTGGATAGAGGTTCTCATTTCTGAAAGCCAGATTAGCAGAGAGAAAACAACTCAATGCTCTAGGGCAGTGTTGCTGAACTACAGCCAATGGGTCAAATCCAGTCTGACATCTGTTTTTATCAATAAAGTTTTATTGGAACACAGTCAGGCTAATTCATTCATGTGTTACCTATGGTTTCATTTGGGGTACAACGTCAGTTGAGCAGTTGTGACAGAGAACAAATAACCACAGCAAAAGCCAAAAAAATATTTGCTATCTAGCCTTGTAAAAGACGTTTACTGACCCCTGGTCTGGGGAACTTAAATTTTGTTCTCATCCTGTATGTTCCCTAAATTTCTTTAGGCAAATCTCTTCCTTCCTGGACCTCACTTTCTACATCTGTAGACTGGATAATCTCCAGGGTGAACCACTGCCTTAGACTTATTCTCCCATTGTTCTTTAAGTGTTAGCATCTAGTATGTTAGTTTTGTCTTATTACTACAGCTGACTTCTTTGAGGGCAGAAAGAAGTTTTGTGTGTCTCATGAATCCTCCGAGGCACAAGGCTCTATGCTGAGCCCTAAAAATATTCATGGAGTGTAACTTAACTGGCTTGAATTATATATTTTTTTCTCCACAGAGAAATCTCTCAGAACGACATCTTGGAGGTGATAGAGGCAGATGTGTTCTCCAACCTTCCCAAGTTACATGAAATGTAAGCAAGAAGCCTGGGGAATTTGCTAATGGCCATTCTTGAAAATATCCTTAGAGTTCTCCTATATTCCTAGGAAGCCCTGGCTCTGCCATGGCCTCAGATCCCTCGATTGCCATTATAAGATGTCTAAGTCAGCCTAAAAGGCACTGTAATGTGTCTCTATCTAGTGATGCAGGTCACGGCTCAGAGCCTAGTTCATCCTGTGCCGGCCTGTAGCCAAGAACATTGCCAGTGACTGTGTGCAAGTACCTCTATGTCATCCTTTCATTCAAAGTTATTCCAGTCAAAGCCCGAAATAAGTGCCACACTATGTACTTGAAGTTGGTTAGACCTTGTCTGACTACTAGCCTATGCCGTATATTTACCACAGAACCTTGGCCAAGATAGATAACTATCTGAGATTTGGTTTCCTCATCTATAAAACTGAAATAATAAAATTACATATGTCATAGGATTGCTGTGACGAATAAAGGAAATGATAAATGTCAATTAGATCTAGCATATTGACTGGCCTAGAGTGAGTATGTTATAATGATCCTTAGTTCCTCTACTACTCCAGCAAATTTACTTTCTCTTCTTAATGTTCCAGTTTAATGTAATAGCATTGCCCACACAGATCCACATCTGTTTTATACCAGTTTATAATTACTATAGATTATTTCATAGAATCATAGAATATCAAAGCCAGAGGAGACTTTAGGGACTGGTCAACAATTTTTCAATGTATATTCTGTGTATCACTAAAAACTCAGGAAATATTAAGTATTTTTACAAAAGGAAAACATCTTAGGGTCAAATAAGACTAGGAACCATTAGGTAAATAAAATTAGATAGGTTTGCTAATTTTAAGAAAACTTTTCGGAGCCTATAATATGCTAGTACACATTTAGAATCTCCAAGGACATTGTATAAATGTTCGTTAACTAATGTTCCTGGCAAGTTTTCTTTTAGAGATTGTTGATTACCATCTGACAAAATTTCCACGGAACACATTTAGGAAGGCCAATGAACAGCCTCCTGATTTTACAGATGAAGAAGGAAAGGCACAGAGAAGTTGTAAGGCTTATCTAAAGTCGCCCGCCTAAATCCACACACGAATAACAACTTGAACATTAATCTTTTGACTCTTTTGTGTATTTTTAACAAGGATGGATTTTGTTTTTAGCATTTGCCAAATTTCAGTAGGGACAAATACATACACACTGTGTGTATGTGTGTGTGAATTTCTTTAGGAATGATACTCAGTCTGTTCATTTGGCAATTCCCCTCTCCCTTTTCCTTTCCTCTACCCTCTCTGCCTCCCACCTTCATTTTTCCTCATTGCCTCTGCACTCTGCAACTGATGTTCTCCCTCCCTCTTCTCATTATCTTCATGCTTCTACCTTTCTTCTCTTTCTGCTTGGCCTAGTTGGGAAGAACCCAGAGAGATTATCAGAGAAATGAACCAAAGGGCAGCCAGGCCTCTGGGCAAGGTCAAGCAGGCATCATTTGATACAGTTCAATGGACAGTTAAGGTAATGGTTTGGGTCTTTCATCTCTTTCTTGCATGAAGAGGTGCTCACCTCCATGTAGCACTGACTGCACTTAAAATGATTAATTGCCTGGTACTTAGATCTAGGTAGCTACAGGTTATAGCAACATAAAAGCTAATGAAACAGGAAGGAAGTAATTAACAGAGAGCATCTCTGCAAATACACATTGATCCAGCAAGACAAGGAAAGGGCAGGCTCTCTGTGTTGGAATCCAAACGTGAACATGCTCACTTTCAGACTGTTGATCAAGAAACAGCACAGGCCAATACAGGGCAGAAGTCACCCCTTTCCATGAGTGAGCAGCCTCAGTCTACTGCATAAAGGGAATCAATGGCCATTCCCAGCTACTGTATGCTTGGCTTTCACCGTTAAAAGCAAAGAGATATTGATTTTCTCCTGACTTTCATTTTTCTTTGCCATTTCACTCTCTTTCCCTCCAATATATTTTTGTCCCTTACTCTTTTTCCTTATCCTTTTCACCTACTTTTGCTCTTTTTCTTTTGCCTCCCAACCAGACAAAAGCTCATTTCCCTATATCAGTCTCATTCCTACCCTCTTAGCCTCCTCCAACCCTGAAAGACTCTTACTGCTAAAAGGTGCAGCTCTACTCAGGGTGAAGACAGCTCACCCAGCCAATGCTCTGTTTGTCTCCGGTGGACAGGGCCCAGGTAATGAGAATTAAACATTTAGTTTGCATAGGTTAGTGTAATAAAAGGCACTGAATGCTTCCTCAATATTTGTTGAAATGATGGAGGGATGGATAGATAGATGACTAGATGAGTGGATATATGGATGGGATGAATAATTTACCATGTACTCTGCAAAATGTGAAAAAATACTATAGCATTCCTTACCACTGAGATCACTAGCATGTTTTTTCTTCTTTTACAGTAGAATTGAAAAAGCCAACAACCTGCTCTACATCAATGCTGAGGCCTTCCAGAACCTTCCCAACCTTCGATATCTGTAAGAACTCATGTACTTTGATACCCCCATTATGATTACATTGTTCAACCCTATTTTACAAAAAGGCCCAATTGTCTCTGGGGAGCAACTGCTTTTTATCAAGGATGGTCATAGGGGCAGAAGTGGAGGTGGAGAGATACTTGGTGATGGATTTTAGTTTAGTCTAATGAGCAAATTCTACTAATGTTATTGCATTTTGTTTTCATTTACAAAAACAGACATATGAAATGCCATTTGCATTAATGGGACTGTCATGTGGACCTCTTCCAGAACTCAGTCATAATTTAGTGTTAATGAGATGCAGCCAAAATTTCTGCTAGCATTTAGCTCGTGACCTTGACTTCAAAGCCATTGTCTCTCTTGTTCTGCATATACACATTTTTCCTTTGATAAATTACAGCATTTTATTTTGTATGTTTTGGTTAATAACAGACATGGTATTTTATCAGCAGAGATTCCTAGTGTTTCGGCTCTGTCCTTTGGGCCTGCCCCTATCAGCAAAAGCACTGCACCCTCCACCCAAATGGCTTTCAGATTAGCTGAGGGCTTGACAGAGCCATGAGTGTTATAATGGGACCCCACAAAATAACACATAAGAATTTGGACTCTGGAGTTAAACTTTCTGGGTTCAATTACTAGCTAGTGATCATAGGTATGGACTTAACCTTGCATATTGTTTCCTCATCAAGAGAATGGAAATAATAATAATGCATGTGTACCTGTTATCTGTTAGCATCATAATCATACAAAACCAACCACTACCCAAAGATGGAGGCTTAAAGCAACAACTATTTATGATTTTTTCATCTGTCTGTGAGTTCATCAGTGGAATAGTCCTGCTGATCTGAATTATGTCTACCTGACCTCAGCTAAGCTCATTCATGCATCTACTGTTAATTGGCAGGTCAACTAGAAGTTGACCCCACTGGATGGCCTCAGTTGGGATGACTCAGCTTTCCTCCAAGAGGCACTCATTTCTAACAGGGTAGTAGAGTAGGCTTGTTTTCATGGCAATCCCAGGGTTTTAAGAGAGACAGCTGAAGATTGCATGAATCTTAAGGCCAAAATTCAGAGCTAGCACACCATCTCTTTTGATGCATTCTGTTAGCCAAAACAATTCACTGAATCATCCAAATTCAAAAGATGAAGATGTTACTTCTTGATGGGAAAAGCTGCAAAGTCACAACACAAAGGATAGAGAGGACACAGAATTGAAGCCACTCTTGCCATCAAAGTATTTAAAAATTTTTGCACTGTGCCTCTCATAGTAGATGCCCAGTAAATATTAGCTATTAATGATGATATGATTCTGTGTCTAAATTTTCATTCATAAGAACTGGAGTTAACAGGTATAATAAGAAAACACTGGGCCATCCTGTGCCTTAGATCTCTGAATGAGAACTTAGGGAATAAAAGACTTAATAGAAGACAGTCCATATGACCTGGAACTTCTGCTCTCTGATACATAACCCAAAAAGGGTCTGAAAAAGAGAAACAAGGTAATCTGCTTCTAAGCTACTGTCAGAGGTAGGCTGGCTTCATGGGCACATAGAACTTTGTGCTCAGAAGGGCCCCCACACTCAGAGGACTGCATACTGGGTTTCATTCTCTGCTATTACCATCTTGTAATGCTTAAACAAGAGGCTCTGCATTTTCATTTATACTGCATCCCACAAATTATGTAGCCAGTCCTGCTTAGAGGTTAGGGTTATGAGCTCCTCTAGTTTCAGGCTTGGGAGTCTTGATCTCTAAGTTGATCATGTTCCTTAGGGACAGAAGCTTTGCTATGCTCTCTGCAGAGGCTAACCTGCCTAGGCACATAGCAGTGGAGGAAACATGTGACAACAGAGAAAGCATGAACCTCATAATCAGAAAATCTAAGGCTTCATCCTGATTCCAGCGTTCAATAGTTGAGAAATCTTGGGCCAATCACTGGACTACTGATATGCACGTGACTTATATGAGCCTCAAACAAGATTTAGATATGAAAATATTTTGCCAACTACAAAGTGCTCAAAAACATTAATAAATGTATTTGTAGACAAATTATTTCTGGTCAACTACTCAAAGTCTACCATCCCATCCACAGAAAAATTCTAGTAAGTGTTGAATAGAGAATTATGCTGCCGATTAAGACCTTCAGCTTTTTCCTCCAAGTGCTTGGCATGGGTTCAAAAAGAGGAAGTTAGAGCATGCCTTTGAATTTAAATGAACAGAATGAAAAAGAACCTACATATGAAAAACTATGACTTCAGAAGGACTGGAATCCAAGTAGAACATTGATATTTATTAGCTAGCTAGTTAATTACTGTCTCTAAACCTTGGTTTCCTTATCCATAAATTGAGTGGTTGTAAAAACCAAATAAGATTATGCCTTTAATAAAAAACACTTTGCAAATTGTTCTGTATAAAAACTGCAGAGAATTATACAAATATAAAATTATTAGTACCTGTTACCAAGTAAGTTTACTTCATTCTTTCTTTTCTTTCCTTCTTTCTCTCAACTCCATCTCTCCCTTCCAGATCCTTCTCTTTCTTTGCTTTGGAAAATGCCAGGGTGGAATATGGGGACCCTAGAGCCTTCAGTGTCAGAACAAATGCTCTCTAGGACATGGAGAGGCATCCCCAGAAGCATCTTTATTCATAAACTATTAAAAACAGCTAATGCAAAGCCCCCCTGCCAAAGACAGACCCAAGAAGAAAACCAGCCCATCACATAGAGATATTCCCTACCCTAAGGTAATAATAGCCTATCTGAGAATGGTGAATTGGGAACAGGTAAATGAGAAATGAGGGATCATTGCAAAATTTGAAACCAAAGGATTCAAAATTTGACCTCAATATTGGCCAACACCTTGCAGTCAGCACCATTTGTTCTTATTAATGAGGACCCTTGGTCCTTCCCTTAGGAGATGAGGGCAGGAGAGATACTTGAACTTGTAAGGATGTGGGCATGCAAAGCACAGTTCCAGACCGAGGAAGGAAGAGAGGGAGATCCTTGGCAGAACAGAGAAAACACAGCTATGCCTTTGCCTCTGAAAAAGGTTGAAATCTGTGCCATCTGCCACTAAGTCCATCCTCCTCTTTGCATCTTTTAATCTCACTTTGGGGTATTGAGTAGTCCTCAGTCCTGTATCAAGTTCACACAAAGCTGGAGGTGACTGATTCCAGCCACATCTTTTTCTGAGAGAAGGTTATTATTCCCAGGGCATTTTAAACCTGCTCTCTAACTAAACCTGAGGAAAGAAAAGCACAAGTAAGGATTTGGAAGGGATTATGTCATTGTCGAGGAATTCTCCTTGATTGCTCTGAAAAATAACATATCATTGTCTTAGTCAGTTTGAGCTGCTCTAACAGACTACTGTAGCTTGGGTAGCTTAAATAATAAACATTTGTTTCTCATGGTCCTGGAGGCTGGAAGTCCAAGATCAAGGGGCCAGCTAGTCAGTTCTTGGTCAGGGCCCTCCTACTGGTTTGCATACAGCCATCTTCCCATTATATCCTTACATGGCCTGATCTTGGTACAAATACACAGAGAGAAAGAATATCTCTTCCTCTTTTTGTGAGGGCATTCACCCTACCATGAGGATCTTGCCCTCATGTCCTTATCTAACCGGAATTACCTTCCAAAGGCTCCACCTCTAAATATCATCCCCACTGGGAGTTAGAGTTTCAACATAGACCTTTGGGGAGGACACAAATGTTCAGATTATAGCAGTTATATAATTCTACACTGTACAAAATGTTTGCACATCCACTGCTATGGAGATCTCCCATTAGGGAGTTGAGATTAACAGTGTTCTATCTTAAGCCTTTGACTTATTGCCAAGAGTGGACTTTTCCCAATTGTGTGCTCCTTCTCAATGCATGGCAACTCTGTCCTCTAAAGGCACTTCTACCTGCCATATGTGTGTGTGTGTGTGCACGTGTGCTCGCGTGTGCATGTGTGTGTGTGTGTGTCAGGTTTATATATGTAGCATATATATATTTATAGATAGAGAGAGAGAGAGAGAGAGAGTAGGTAGAAGTGCCTTTGGAGGCAGAGTTGCCATATATATGTATGGCCAAGACACTCTAGCCCTTTGAAATATTTTCCAAACTGCTAAGAGGGATTACCTAAATTCATAGGTAGTCCTCTAAATTGGAAAGATTTTGTCAAAGAAATGAAACTAGTCAAGTTTCCATTTACAGTAGTTAGCTTGGGCTACCTTAACAAAATACCATAGGCTGAATTGATTAAACAACAGAAATTTATTTCTGACAGTTCTGGAGGCTGTTAAGTCCAAGAGGTACTGGCCAATTAGGTTTCTGGCTTGCAGACAGCTGCCTTCTCCCTGTATACTGTTAGAGAGAGTGAGAAGGGGAGAGAGAGAGAGAGAGAGAGAGAGAGAGAGAGAGAGAGAGAGAGAGACACTTGAGTGATCAAGAGTGAGTTTGTGGTTTCTTTTCTCATATAGGGACAATAATCCTAACAGGTTAGAGCCCTACTCTTATGACCTCATTAATTACCTGCTATAAGTTCTATTTCCAAATACAGTTACAGTGGGGATGAGAGTTTTAACAATTAAGTTTTGTGAAGACACAGTTCAGTCTATAGCACATCTTCCGTGCTTATTTTCATCTGAGCAGCAGTCCTAACAGCTTTGTAATCCAGCAGTGAGGTTGACGTAGATGGTAATGATTTCAGATGTTCTTTGGGATGATGAACTACTTATTTCAAGACAAAGAAAAAATGCAAAATGGATGAAGGAATCCAGTGGGTACCAGCAGGATTGAGTTGTTCGTTTTGTTTCACTTTGTTTTTTTCTTAAGCCATGATAAATGTTAATCATCACAGCCACTGAAGCAGGAGATTGCAAGGGGTAGGGGTGAGTCGCTATTTGACTTGAATGTCCTAATTGCTGCACATGCGTCCTTAAAAACGTTGTTCTGAAGTCCTCCCTGTTGATGCCATTTCATGCTGCTCATTTGATGGCACAGAATTCAAGACAACTAGAAAT